GAGAATCTCCAAGATTAGGAAGTACAACTCTGGGTTTGTCTGTGATGTCATTGCCAGAGAGGATTCACTACAGGGGAAGACCTGTGCACCCCAAATGTTGATGCAACATCCCCTGGACTAGGGGATGGTGAAATAAAGGGACTAGAAAGGGATCATGGAAATTTTCTTTAGGCTACTTGGTTGTCGTGGTGTGAGCTTTTCTGTCTGCCACATCTTTCCATGGTAGAGTGAAACAGTGAACCTAAATGAAAGTCTGACTAACACATTATATAAAACACTGTATAAAACTCACATATGATGTCGACTCAAGGTGCTCATTACAATGTTAAACATGAATAATGCAAAAGCAAAACAAAGAACCTTGAAAGAAAAATCGGAGCCCTTGATCCTAAAACGAATCTATCCTTCCTTGTTCTGTGTCAGTATTCTCCCTACTGCTCTGATTACCCCTTTCCTGCATTTACCTCTCTTGTCCAGTTATTCATTCTACCCCTACCCCTTGTTTATACAATTTATAGATTCAAAGTGGGCCCCCCAAATGATAGTGCTAAGGGCAGAATTGTTATTGGGTAGGCAGAAGGCTAAATTCAGCATTCTTTAGGAATCTCTAAAGGCAAGTTTCTGTTTACCAGGAACCTCCATTAACCTGCCCCAAAACCAACTACCTGGGACAAGGGCATCTAGCTCTCTGTTAAACAAACAGCCTGCATCAGTTCAACACCCTTGGCCTACTGGCTGTCCTATAAAATTGGCCTGCTTTGCCATTTTTGCTTCTCTCTGCCTTCTTCCCCTGAGATAATGACTTGGTAGTTTGATCCCCAATAAATCTTTCTTTCTACCCACAGAGTGGTCTAGTTTGATAGTTTCCCTTGGCTTTAATCTGTTATTTGTTTGTTTGTATTTAAACAATTTCTACATTTATTTAATCATTGCCTTTTTTGTGACACTCCATAGCTATGGAATGGTTCCCTCACCTCAAATTTAACAGGGGTGTTGAGGCTGGTGGTCCTACATATGTATTCTGGGAGTGGATAGTCAGATGATCAGACTCTGGGAAGAGCAGGTCAGTCCTCACAAGCTCATTTGTCATTGCAGCAGAGAACTTGGCTTTTAGGTGATGGGTGTGCAAACTGAATTGGCTTTTAGGAGACAGACATCAAAACTTGCCACCTGCACAAAAGAAGGGAGAGGCTGGCCTTTCTGACTAGCTTGTCACCTCTGGGATAGAAAGGGGGAGGAAAGAGAAAGTATGAGAAGCTGTCTGGAGGAGTGACTTTGCAGTTTGTTGAGTATAAAGCTGTAGCCAAAGACAGTGAGTTTCTTTATTATTATTATTATTATTATTATTATTATTATTATTATTATTATTATTATTTTACCCCTGAAGACAGGAACTTCATTTAAAAAGAAGTCAAATGCTTTGTACTGTGGCAATAGAACATACAAGGAATTGACTGGACCTTGCCCATTTTAGGGTTCATAGGTTTTACCCCATTGGAAAGACTTTGCTTTGAAGAGAGCTCTCAGGCTCCCTTCAGGCTTCCTAAGAAAGTGTCTTCCATATTCAGTCACTCAGATACTCAGAATCTACTAAATCAATGGTCAGGAAGCACATAGCAACTGTTCCAGCAAACCTCCATGTATGTCCACATGATTCTGATTTTGCAGGCATATAAAAATCAAGTATTATTAGGTCAAACGAAGGTCTGGGAAGTCAGGCAGTACAGAGCATAGTGTCCTAGCTATTTTTTTGTCAATTTGACACAAGCCAGATTCATTTGAAAAAAAAAAAAAAAAAAAGGAAACCTTAATTGGGAAAAGGCCTCCATAAGACCCAGCTATGGGGGATTTTCTTAAGAAATGATTGATCTGGGATGGCCCAGCCCATTCTGGGTGGTGCCATCTCTAGTCTGGTAGACCTGGGTGCTATAAGAAAGCAGGCTGAGCAAGCCATGATGAGCAACCCAGTAAGCAGCACCCCTCCATGGTCTCTGCATCAATTTCTGCCTCCAGGTTTTTGCCCTGTTTGAGTTCCTGTGCATGAGGCTCTGATGTGAGCCTAAATTTTGGTAGAAATCTCAGTAAGTTAGAGGTGCCAGGCATAAGGATGTGTCCACCTTACCAACCTTTAATATTTCTTTGGTGGAGTCTTTCCTGCTATTTGTTTCTTCCTCTCTCTTGGAATTGAAATGTTCATACTGTTCTTATATATTGGAAATTTATAAGGTGTATTTGATTTTATAAGCCCTCATAGCTAGAAGTTTGTTCTGAGTCCTTGAAAGAACTTTGGATTAGCACTTTTGAACCCAACTGTAATTGTTAAAACTTTGGAAACTTTAAATAGTCTTTTAATTAAATTTATTTATTTATTTGTGTGTGTGTGTGTGTACATTCCAGAATGCATGTATGGAAGTCAGTGTGCAGTGATTACCACAGGAAACAGGTGGAAATTGGAAAAAATATAAGTCAGACAGCTCCTGGGACCTGGTTCTCTTCTTCTACCATATGGAGTCTGGGGATTGAACTCAGGATCTCAGGCTTGCTGGCAGGTGCCTTTACCTGATGAGCCATCTTGTCAACTTCAGCTAATACACACACACACACACACACACACACATTATTAGTCGTTGAGAATTTTATGCAGTTCATTTTGATAATATTAACTCTCCTCTATCTTCTCCTGTATCTATCCCTTAGTTGCCCACACACTTTGTGTCTTCTTTCTTCTTTTTTTCACACATCAAGTTGAATTTAAGTTGAATTTGTGCTACCAATATGTTCTTGATTGTTTATGTAGGCAATCACAATCAAGGGTGCTTCTGCAACCAGTGATCAAATCAAAAAAAAAAAAAAAAGCCTTTATCCCCAAGCTCAACCTCCAGTAGCTATTCATCCAGAGGGTATAAGTTTGTGTCTACCTCCTGTCACCATGCTGGGATTTTATATCCCTTGATCTTGCATGAGTCTGGTATATGTTGTCACAATTGATGTGAGATCACATGTGTGATTGCACAGTTGTATCAGTGTTTCTTGGTAGTTATCCAGAACTTCTGGCTTTTTAAAACAAACAAACATTTACCGATTCCGATTTTCACCTCGTGCCCCTCAGCCCTGCTGATCTCCCCATCCCCCCATATCCACCCTTCCCTTTTGCAAACCCCCCAATAAAAACACCCAAGCAAAGAGACAGACAAAAACCAAAACACAGACAACATCTCATCGTGGAAGCTGCAGTGTGTCACAGTGTGTCCTACTGTATACCCCACTGTCCACACATCGTCACTTGCAATTATTCATTGCAGTGAGTCATTGGTTTGCTTTGAGATCTTTGGCTTTTGTGATACCATTAACATTAGATCCTTATCAGGACTCCTCCCTGTATCCTGTTGTTGCCCTGTGTCGTGGAAATCCTTCAGCTTTGGATGAACAGGACTGGCCCTTGCATGTGTCCCAGACATTTGAAGATGTTACAGGCTTTGGGGTATGCCAACTCAGAACCCTGGATCTATAAGCCTGGGTGGTAGCTGAACAGTTCAGCCAACTGGCTCTCCATTATCTGTACCACCAGGGAAAACTCTCCAGCGCTGGGCCAGCTAGACAATTCAATTTCACCATTGGCAGGAGGTAGGGTCAGCTTCCTTGCTCTCATGCCCTGGGGCAGCTTGCCCACATCCATGCCTCCAGAGCCTGCTCAACTATGCTGCCCAGTCAAGGAAAGGCACAGGGCCCACTCTCCAAGGGCTGCACCTGTGAGAGACTGGGCCAGCTCTCAGACTCTCACACCCTCAGGGCTGGCTCACTTGGGACATTAGGGCCAGCTCCACTGGGCTGCCCAGGTGAGGGGAAGGGCTAGTTCTCCTAGCCCATGCTCTTGGGACTATCTTTTCTGACTACTGCAGGTGGCAAAGGGGAGGAGGAGGGCTAGCTCACTGGTGTCTCTGCCAACAGAGCCCGCTCTACTGTGCTGCAACTGGAGAGAGCCAGGGACTCCTCTCCTGCTCGAATGATCCTGGGACCAGCTCTCCTAAGCATTGCAGAGAGTGAGGGGTGAGAGGGGAAGGCATTACCCTGCCCCCATGCCACCTCAAGGAAGATGAGTGTCAGGGCCAGCTCTTCCTTGCCTTCGCTCTTGCCCTTGGCACTAGCTTACCTGAACAAATCCCCACCACCAGGGTCAGCTCTGCTGTGCTGATTAGTCAAGGTACAATGGTCTGTTTTCCCCAAGTGCTGCAGCTGGTGAGGGGCAGGGCTAGCTCTCCTGTGCTCATGACCCTGTAGGCAGCTTTCCCAACTGCTCGAGATGGCAAGAGTGGGAGGGTGGGGAAATGGGGGGACTGAGGGGACATCACTTCTGCACAGGTGCCACCCCATGGCAGATAAGTGACAGGGTCAGTTCTCCCACACTCACACTGTTAGAAACGGCTCATCCACACCCTTTTTTACCAGGGGCCAGCTCCGCTGTGCTGCCTGTGTGAGGCACAGAGCCTGCTCTCTGCAATTCTGCCACCAGTAAGAGGTGGGGCTAGGTCTCGAAAGCCCCACAACCATTGGGGGCAGGGGTGGGGTGGGGACAGTTCTGTACAGCCCCTGAACATCTATGTGGTCTCTCAACAGCTATCCCATCAGGGATGTCCCCATGTTCTCTAGTCTAAATATGAGCCACTGACCTCAATATCCACCCCTGCTGCTGCATAGCCACAGACTCAGACATGGCCTTCAATGGCAGCTTGAGCTGGGACCTCGCCATGGCCCCTGGTTACAGGGCTGGCCACTCACAACACATTACTCCTCTCCACCCTCCAGTCTCCAATTCCATCTCTCTTCATCATGCTCAAGCTCCTCCCCTTCCTTTTCTCCCCCATCTGACCACCACATGCTCACGCATTGAGGTGGCTCCCACTGCAAGCTGGCCACACAGCTGGCAGGCCCGTGGTAACATCTTTGGTTTGTGCAAGGCAGTCTGTCTTCCTCCTCCTGTGCTACACTGCCTGGAGTTGATTTGATGAGTCTCAGCCATAGAACAGTTTTGGTCACCAAGCCAAGCATCAAGCTAGGATGAACAAAGGACTGCCGTCTTCTCTGCCCCTGACTGATGTGAGAGCAACACCACCAACAAGGTGACTCTTTGTCCATTGCCAGGGCTGGCACTTACGCCTTTTACTTCAGGATGCTCTGTCCTAAATGGGACATCATACTCCCTCTCCCAAGGCTCAGGGATCGCTCAACAGTTTTTGTTTTGTCGTTTGTTTGTTTTGTTTTATCTTTGTTTTTGTGTTTTTTTAAATGAAGTATATATTCACATAAATCATGTTAGTTTCTGTGTGGTCCATTTTCCTGGATGAGTGTGAACACCTCCATTTTTCTCCATTCTCTATGCACCATCACCTGGCAAAGCAGGGATGTTCTAGGCTTGGTTTTTGAAGGGGAGGGGCTTCTATTTAGGAAATGACTCTCAAAATTTTACCTCTATTAAGAATCTAGTCTAGCCAGAAAACAAAATAAAACCCCAGAAAAGCTTGTGGGAATGAGTTTGTGTTTTATCCTTAAACAACTAAAGACAGTTCACTTTATTGTTTTAAGAAATACAAACAAGACAGAAGAGCTCTCTGCCACGTGATAAAAATACAAGAATTATATTCACCAATTTATAAACTAGTGCTCTTTCATTGGAATCTTACTACATCATGTTCCAATTGTGTACTTCTGATTAAGATTAACTTCTCCCTAGCTCCATGTTTGTACAGAAGAGGAAGCAGAACCTGCATTTGCTCATAGTGGCCAGGAGTACAAGGTTGGTGAGCCATCAAGTGTTTTAAGTAACTTGCAGAGCTATATTAAAGTAAGTTTTTTTATATTTTCATAATTAAATCCTCAATTTGGGTTGTATTCACTTGTCCCCTGTGGGAGTTGTTAGGATGTTTGAAGTGTCACATACAGGAGAGTACTCTGACTCTGGGGACTTAAGAGAATTTGGACTCCAGTTGCTCTGTTGTGTGATGTGGGAGAAGCTAATTTCTCTTAAATCTATAACTAGGGATGGTGAGATGTTCAAAGTAAAACAAAATAATCAGAGAAATAACTCAAGTAAAGTCTTCAAGGAGCCTTAGATCATTATAAGTACACTGTGAAGGTCATTCTGGGACACAAAATATCCCAGCTCTTTTGAATGAATGGCTGAGAATCTAATGAACAGTTGTAGGACCAATTGTTGCTTAAGGAAATATAAATTTCACAAAGGGAAGAAATTTTTTTCTTTTCTTTTTTCTTTCCTTTTCTTTTCTAGGCTATAGATTCCTATAGTAATGTCAATGAAAGTTTATTTCCCAAGCAGTTTGTCGTCTCTCAAACTGTGAACATAACTTGTAATGTGTCCTACTGTGATGGTGTGCTAGGTAACTATTATAGATAGTTGGGAAAACTTCATTCATTCATTCATTCATTCATTCATTCATTATTTCTTTCTCAACTTTTCTCACTTCAGTGGATGAAAATACATAGTAATTTGAAACATTGTTATTAAAAACAACAACAAAACACTATCACCCGGTGTTAGCAGGGAATTACCGGTGATGATAATGATACATAATTAAATTAGATGTGGATATTTATTATTTACCAAATGTGATGAGCTAGTTGAGTACTTATGTCTTAGGGGATTCATTACTCATGCTATAATATGGATAATGTCCCCTCACAGTGAGGGAAGAGACTTCAGTGACAGTGATGCTAAATCACTTGCCTAAGGTCCTACAAGGAGCAATTCAAACCACACAAGTAAGCAATATACTTAGCCTCAGGGGCTCCTGGGGAAACAGGTGAGAAAACACCTATCTATTCTCCATGAAGTGAATGCATGTTGAGGGGTAGCCCAACAATAGGATGTATGATAAATTTAAAAATCTGCCTAATGAAAACTTCAGTAGCTTAACCAATGAAGATTTATGCAGCAGTAAGCCCTGGTGAATGTTCATGTGTTGTTCCAGCTTCATTTCCAATTGCCCTAAAATAACAATTTATGGGGAAAAGAGTTTCTTTACCTTAGAGTTCCAGGTTATTGTCCATCATAGCTGGGAAGTCAAAGTACATGAACCAGCTGGTCACATCCAGTCAAAAGCAGAGTATGTGTACATACACACTTCCAGGGCTCAGCCAACTCTCCCTTTTCATTTGCCCCAGCTTAATGAAGTGGTCCCACCCACAATTCAGGATGGGTCTTCCCATCTCAGTTGCCCTAACTAAGGAGATCCCTCAAAGGTTGTCCTCATTCCCACAGGTCAACCTAATCTGGACATTTCCCCATGAGACTCCCTTGGCAGGTGAATCTAGGTTGTGTCCAACTGACAATTAAAACTAACCAACATGTGTGTCTCAAAAAGATGATCATCAAATTCAATTAGTTGCTCTAAACAATACAGACATCGATACTCTATTTTCCTTGATTCTGTGGTTCTAGATCAAATAGGTTTATCACACTGAAGAATTAGGCTAAAAGAATGCATTGAGTGCAGTTAATAAACTAGTTTGTTTTTTAATACATCCCAATAGAGATTAGATACATGCTGTACCCAAGGTGTCAAGCTTAAGGAAATGTGACAGTTGATGGGGCAGCAGACCACACCCAATAAATCAATTATTGGCTACTTATAATTATACTACTGATTCAGTATAAATTAGTGTTGTGTGTGGTTTTTAAATCGGCGGCACCCAATCTGGCTTATAGTTACGGAGTTGCTATTTTCCTTACTAGGCTAGGCCTGAGGTCAAATTGCTGCTGCCTCGGCTCAGGCCACTGGCTCAGTCCACAGGCTCAGGAGGCCAGAGACACTGGCCCTGCCACCCATGAGATGCCAGTGTGGGAGATGGCTCTGCCAATGGATGGTTCTCCATCCTCCTACATCTCTGCCTCCCCCTGTTCCTCCCTTTTCTTCCTCTCCTTACTCCTCCTCTTCTCCTTACTCCTCCCACTTTGCTCCTCCCAACTTTCGGGAAAATATGCTGCTACAAATTAGTGCAAACCATTCTCCATACCTGCTAAGTGAGTTAGTGCAAAGGGCCTTCCATATCTAGTGAGGTACAGCATTGTTTAATGTGCAAGCAACTTATAAACTAAGTCTACATTTATAGCTAAGCTACCTGGTTTCAGCCAGCCAAAAGGACTACCATACCATATGTTTCACTGGATGAAACAGCTGTCATTTCAATCAAGCCCAGATTGAAGGGTGTCAATTATTCTCCAATAAGACAAATGCCAGACATCATCAGGCAGGCGGTCTCTCTCTCTCTTTCTCCCTCCCCTCTCTTTCTAAATAGAAGGCGGGGGAGGAGCGAGAGATAGAGATAGAGATATATCTGTCTGTCTGTCTTACTACTCATAAAAAAAACTCACCCTGTTACAAGAGTAGGCGAGCTGGCCCTACACCTCACCAGCAGCAGCATCCAAGAGAGTGGTCTCTGCACCTTTCCTGGGCAGTAGTCAGAAGGAAAAGATCGTGGAAGAACTGGCCAATTTTCCTTGAAGGCTGCAGCACTTGGGAGAGTGAGGCTAGCACATTGACTGGGCAGCACATTGAAACTCACTCTGGATGCATGGGTGCAGGTGAGCTGCCCCAGGGCAGGAGAGATACAGAAGGCTAAAGCTTCTGAGTTGAGAAATGGCTGCCTCATATACATCAGGTTATTCCCTTATGAACACATGTTCCTGTTACCACTGACTACTCCTTTCCCAGAAAGTCAAGCAAGAGAACCATGACACACCTCCTTGGGGCCACCTCTCATCTTTTTATTTTGAGTTTATATTTCAAATTTCTCAGCACCCAGTGCCCTGCCAGGTAGATACTAGATTCCTAAATGAGTGTGTAACAAATATTTTTAGATTATTAAAACCCATATGTGATATTTTTGGATTCCGTTTTAAGTGCTTGTGCTTCTCCTTGGTTAATATCATGGCTTAGGTGTTCTAGACCTGAATTCCTCTCTGAGAAACAACTTGAGAACATTCTGGTTTTCTCATTCTGGATCACATGTCCCAGCTGTTGGGGGTGGGGCAACTCAGGCTTTTGGGCACAAGATTAGTGGGGGAGGGATGGTCTCCTTAAAAAAACTGTATTTAGATATGAAGTATCTAAGCTAATATCCACACACACATAGTTTTGAGTGTGCACATTTCTTGCCTTTTCTTCCTTTGTCTTTGACAATGTCATTTTAGTTTTTCTTTCAGCAAACATCATTATTCTGACTTCCCATGACAATTGCACAACTTGGACCACTACCACTTTGCTCAGATAGCATTTCTGGTTCTCCGCTTGAGGTTGCTTGTGTTTTGGTTGTCAGGACCATGATGCTTAAACTGCTACATCCATGGTATGATCTGAGGTGAAGCGTCTGCAGTGTTGTTCTTTCTGCCTAGGATTTCTTGGCTACTTCAGGTCTTTTGGACTCTTCTGTGTGAATTTTAAAAGCTTTTTATTTTTCTAGATCTGTGAAAAATGTCATTGGAGATTTTATGGGAAATGTGGTGAATTCATAGATGGCTTTCAGAAATATGGCTGAGTTTACAGTTATCAGGTGTGTTAAGTCTCTGAACTTGAAATGTCTCTCCATGTTCTAGGACTTTAATCTCTCCCTTTCTACAGCTCTTAAAGCTTTGATTACGTAGGTTGTTCATCTCTTTGGTTAGATTTATTCCTAAACTTCATTGTTTGCTTTGATTTGGTTTCCCTTTTTAGTTTAGTTTAGTGTGAATGGGCTTGTTTTCCTAATTTCTTCTCCACACCTTTGCTTTTAGATGTGGAAAAGCTACCGATTTTCTTTTCACTTTGAGTGCATATTCTCTCATGTTGCTGATAGTATTTGTCATGTTTAATAGTTTTCGGGTAGACTTCAGAGGGTTTATTGATTCATTATTAAAATCACTTGATTTTTACTTAATGTATGTTCTGTATCTGTGGAGACCAGATGAGGTTATGGGATCCCTCGAGTTGGAGTTACAGGCAGTGTGAGCTGACTGATATGGGTGCTGGGATTTGAACTCCATAAAAACAGCAAATCACCCCTCTAGCCCCATGTTTGCAGAACATTTCAATAAAAAACTCTTGTAAAGGGGGATGTGTTGACTTTTCCCACATGTACCCCTTTTCTTACTTG